CATCTTTTCACGGTGTATAATTTACCTTTTCATCATTACTGTTTCATTAGAAACACCGACGCAGCTCACACTAGTTTTTAGCTAGTTATATCTTTTTATTTTTTTCCTTATTTAGAGTTTTCTTCTTTATAGCTGGAAAGTCAATGTTTTGCGAAGACCATATGGTTCCTCATGGTTATGTGCGCGTTAATAGAGTAAGAACAATACTTCGTTTATACTCTTCAATATTATGTCTATCAAACTAGTTAATTGTTGCGAGTTCTTTGTCTGTTCTTGTGTAGGATACTTTAGGATCTTGGCAAAAGTGTGTGACAGCCTGTCGTAATGCCCTCGCTAAGGGCAAAAGTGTGGTCGTCGACAACACAAACCCTGACAAAGAATCAAGAAAAAGGTAGAGTAGAGGTTTTGCACCATCACGTGATGGCAGCCATAACAGGAGGCAATGGAATTTGGTCTAATCTGATTTATATGATAAAGAATTCAGTTTCCCAGGGCAATGAGACGACTCTATTGTTGTGCATCATGTCATGGCTGCCATCCCATGAGGGTGCAAAGCCTCTGTAAGGAGTCTTGAGAAACTCAAGTTGTCTTGTTGGCTCATGCAGGGCTCGAGAGAGCAGCCGGCTAATTAGTGTCTTCCAAAGACCAAAATCTACTGATCGCAAAAGAAGCAATAGACCACTTTCGAATTCCAAATTACCGCTGTGTTTTTTGATTACAGACTCCTTTGCGCAGGGTTAGCCTCGTATCAGTGTCTAAATATTCATAAATACCAACGGTAAAGTAAAGAATGCACAACTTCAACAATACAAACACTTTGAAACTTGACGGACCATGACTGGAATACGTGAATATTCTGCACAAACTCGAGGCTAACCCTGTGCAAATGAGTCTGTAATCAAGAAACACAGCGGTAATTTGGAATTCGAAACAAAAAAGATTCTTTGTTTGAGTTGTAACCATACTCATGTGTCTTCTCATGCACAACTCTTAAACAAAGAAATTATTTTCAAGAGAATGACACATAATCTAAAATGGGAAAACATTGCGCTCAAGGTAAAGAGGTCTATTGGCTCACCTTATAGTCCAGACGCTAGCACAGGTAACCCAAATAAAGCAGAGCGGTCCAAAGAGAGTATAGCGTCTGGACTAGGTACCTTTAGCCTTTTCTTCTTTACCATGGTTTGGTTTTTTCTTGCACAGATTCATCGAATGTGCTCGTGCGGCTAAAGTCCCAGTTCGTTGTTTCTTGATGGATGTATCCAGAGAGCATGCGCAGCACAATAACACGGTGCGCGAGACTCTGAACACAGACAAAGACTACAAACACGTTGGGACTATGGTTTTCAACATCTACAGGTATGTGTTTAGTTCGTGTGATGTCCTTAGACTCGTACCGATTAAATAAAATGTAAAGGTAGGGGCTCTTGCAAATAATTTCAAAGTGGCACATGGGTTACGCGTGACGCGTGATTCGGGCTAAAATGAGTGCGTGATACGTGAAAATAGCAAAAAGTAGAGCGTGATTTGAATTCCAGGTTTAGTGTGGCGCGTGATTCTTTTCTTAAAATGTGAAAGATTTCGTTAAAAGATAAAATTCGTGATTCGTTAATGTGCCTCAAAGTTATGTGACGCGTCAAACTTAGAAATATCGATGGATAAGACTTGATGCCGACTCCTGTTTTCGTCTTTTTTAAAATACCTTTGTTCCACAATGTTCAGTAGGTCTTTCGATATTTTCATCTCCCTCCTAATATCATATCAATATCGTATAATAGTCCTCACCTCGATTGCGACAAAAATAAGAACAGCATTGGCAGGAGTGAGGTCTGGTAACCAGTGCGCCTTATCACAAGACTCTGCCCTTGGGGAAAGTCGATGATTTGAGATGCTGTAAAATGTCACAAGCCTGCGCAACTCAAAAAATATGCGCGCATCGCAATCGCGATGTCACGGCACGTTTTCTGGTGCCTTGCGTCCACCCATCGCGTGAACTTGCGATGGTCTGATTTTGTTTTACCCAAGAAATATGCCATTAGCAATATAAAAAACTGTCTTAAAGTTTCATTCTTACCTTTCAGGTCGCATTATGTAGAACCAAGCTGTGATGAAGGATTCAGTGAAATACTTAAAATCAAGTTTATACCCAAATTCAAAGAAAAAAGCACGAGAGAGTTTTACAATCAGTTTCTATAAACAACTCTGGACAGGCTGTCGTATTCGCTGCTGTCTTTGCTGGGTCCATCCAGTATTCAATAGCTTACAATTAACTATAATGCTTACTGTGCTTCCTTGATAAAACGAACAAAGTCTTAATGTTGTTGGAAGGTCATGGTTTTGAGAAGCTGTTTCCAATGTCCGGACAAACGTCCACCATCAGCATCACAACCACCACCAACACCACTCACAACAACCATCACACCTCCATCTCTACAACCACTAAGCACCAACTATCAATTCCAGATTATAATTGTCATCATTGCTACGTGTTATCAATTTATTATATTTTTATTATTTTGAATGAATATATACCACACCTAATCCTGTATTAATTCTATGAATAAGAATCGTTATAAGAAAATCATTTATTCTGAAGGAAGGATCCTAAGTTTAGACAACACATTTTATTATTAAACTCAGTCCCGTTTACTCTTTTTTAACATTACTAATTTTAAGTATTTTTTACAAAGTCATATTAAAGTCGTATAACTAGTGTGTGCATCTCTTGGCATCAGATGCTGCCTCCTTTGGGGACTCTTTCTTTCACGTTCGAGATTCCTGTGGTAATCAGTCCCCTTGGTAACTGACTCACCACAGGTATCCCGTCTAAGGAATAATCAACAAGCGAGGAATACCTGAAAAGGCTTTGTATGACCTTAGGAAGTACGAGGAATAAATTACAACACTGGGGTCAAGGACGAAGAATGATTCCTGCAGGATGCATACTTAATCGAAAACTTCTAGTATATTACGGTTTCTTTTGGCTCTCCAACGGTTTGTCGCGAGGGTCTGCCTTGATTTCCCTGGAAATTAATATTGCGCACAGCTGGTTAGTTTGATGATGGTACATAACATGGATATCTCTTAGGCGGAGGCCATTTTAATTCCTGAAAATCTGGGTCAAGAGCGACTCTCAAATGTTTGTCTTTTGCTTTAGCGCATACCAAAAGCAATGCTTACTGACTGAGAAAATGCGGGCTCCCGAGATTCAGGAAAAAGCATTGATACAGAGCGTGCGTAATATATGCTGTTCTTTTTAAATGATGACGATTAACGTAAATGCGGTTCTTTTGAGCATGTATTAGCCAATTACATTTCAGTTAATATTTCGACCAATCAGTGATCATCACGGAGGATTTACGGCGCCACTTTGCATCAGCTGTGAACATTTCTCTCCAGTCAACCAAAATGGCCAGATGTAAGCAAACCGCTCGCAAAAACAAGAAAGATAAAAGTAAATGGAATCGATAAACTACTACAAGGAACAGCAGAACATCTAGGATGAATCGTTACAGACCCACAGCTTTAGCGCTAAATGGAATGCGACAGTTTGGATCAACACAGTCGCGTCAGGATGGAAACACAGCAGTTAACGTGGGTAGAGGGATTCTGTTTGCCCGTAGAATTCGTGGAATGGATGTGTGAGAACTACTGAACAACGCTAAGACGAAACATTAAACCTTGGAAAACGTTTCTCGCTGCTGGAAACTCTGGACACTGAATGAAATGAATAACACCAAATGATTTAGAAAACTGATTTCCTTGCGATAGAACTTTATCTTTTATTTGATGAGCTTTACTGGAATCCAAGATGGCTCTTTCAAAATGAGCAATGCACCAAGAATCGACATTGATATTTATACTGCCCGAGAAAGTTAATCTTCTTATCAAGACAAGCACAAGCAGAGTGAATGTCGAGTTCTGTTTCTTACATATTTGTTACACTGTTGTTCTTTTATCTTCAATAAAAATATCTTTGGTAAATTTGTGTGACGACCTTTTAGCTAAATTATGTCTAAAGCGCTGGAAAACTTAGAGACGCGAGCTAAACTTAAGACTTGCGCTTATTTTGGCGGGTGTTTGAGGACGCGTCTTCTTGATGTACCCGTCCTTTGTTCGCGCGTCGCTCGATTAGTCACAAAGACGTATATGCTTTGGTATTGCCGCGCTTCGCTACCCGGCTCATTATGGATGGACCATTAGATAATTGATGGGGGGTTGCAGGAATTTTGGTTGCATGATGTTTATTTTTTGTCTCAACCCTTGCACGTTATTTTTTTGCGTACAGTTAGATATTTTTCTTCTAGCAGAAGAGGTTGCACGATATCTTTTTAAGGTTTAAGTCCTTGCTAGATATTTTTTGGGGGATTTACGCAACCACCCCACAACCATCAACTATCTAGTGGTCCGTCCATAAGCATGTGCGCATGTATAACTTCATGTATTCTTCGCTTGCACGTTACGTCATCGCGGCCTCTCGGGGAAGCGTTGGTACCATTTAACAAAAGATTTCTCATTAGCATCCATTGTTAACGGCACTACAATGGCCGCCATGCTTTTGTCTTCTAACTCTATTGATGGGTTGCAAGCATTCCCAAGAGAGTTAAAAGACAAAAACTTGGCGGTCATTGTGGTACTGTTAACAATGGATGCTAATGAGAAATCTTTTGTTAAATGGTACCAACATGGCCGCGATGACGTAACGTGCAAACGAAGAATCGGAAATGCTYGCAAACCATCAATAGCTTGTGTTTCGAAATCTGGACTTTAAAACAGTCCCCGGTTTTGGGGTGCCAGTGTTTTGTCCTCAACGAACACGTCTTTTCGAGAAACTGTCGTTTTGCAGTGTGCAAATAAACGTTAGATCCTTCTGTTACCTTTCAACCAACACTGCGACTATATGTACTAGCTGCGCGGTGGCAAATCAAAGACACAGACTTTTCTTTCCAGCGCAAATAAATAAATGCGTAAGCTTGCCTTTGTTTCATACTTTCAACTGCAGTTTCTTACCTTAAGACTGAGTTGTGTCTGGTAATCCTGCTTGGCCATCTCATCTTGTACCCACTGTGGAACGTCAGGTATGACAAGAGCGAGAACAAACTTGGCACCCAACAAAAAATGCTGCAAGAAAAATGGCACAAATTGAGAAAACGCTACATACTGTCGTTGTGGTTGCTTTTGTTAATTTTATACTGAAATCTAATTTTATGAGCTATTTCTTAACTATTTGGAGAAAGAACACCCATTTTGGCACTTTAGACTATTCAAAACCTATGTCAGAGCTCTGGTCAGAGATGAATAATTTATCTCTGTGAGTGACGTTGAAACCAGTAAAATGTTTCAAAAGTTCACTTGAGATAAATAGATTTTTTTAACTTACGAAATCGTATTTTACTTCTTTAATTTATAGGCAACTAGTTTTAGAAAACTACACTCTAATTTTCTGAGCCATTTTTGAACTATCTTGAGAAACAAAACGCACGTTTTGGCCGTTTGAATTCAAGCTCAAAAAGTTGTTTCAAAACTCATTGGAGATGAATAAATTATCTCTGTGAGTGACGTTGAAGCCAGTAAGTTGTTTCAAAAGCTCGCATGAGATAAATAGATTTTTTCGTCTTACAAAATCGTATTATACTTCTCCAAATTATAGACAAATAGTTTTACGGAATTACTCTCTAATTTTCTTAGCCATTTTTAAACTTTGTTGAGAAAGAAAACGCACGTTTTCGCACATTTGACTTCAAGCTCACGAAGTTGTTTTAAAACTCATGTGAGATGAATAAATTATCTGTGAGTGACGTTGAAGCCAGTAAAATGTTGTAAAATCTCACTTCAGCTAAATAATTTTTTCCTCTCAGAAAATCGTGGTTTACTTCTGCAGTTCATAGATAACTACTCTTAACTAATTCTAATATTTACTTACAGTTTTACGCGACCAGTTTTAGCAAATTAATTTCTAATTTTCTGAGCCATTTCTTAATTGTTTGCAAAACCTGACACAGTGGTTATGCGGGAAGCGTTATTCTGGCTAAAAAGCTAAAAGTAAATGCGTGATACGTGAAAATAGCTAAAATTCGAGCGTGATTCGTGAATTCCAGATTTAATCAAGCGCGTGATTCGTCTCTCGAAATGTGCATGATCAGTCGTGAATGATTGATCCGATTTCGTTAAAACCATAAAAGTCAGTTAAGATAGTGATTCGTTAATGTGAATCAGATTTTTGCGCGACGGGTCAATCTTCATAAAAATATCGATGCGTCACACCCCACCTGGAATCCCCCTGCTTTTCCTTTTTCTTGACCCCGCCTGTGCCACAATCTCTCTGCCATCTCCCACCTAGTAGAACAGTTTCTGGTTATGACTGTAAAAAGCGGCACAAACACGGTCGTGACACGGCAACGGCACTGCCAGTCCAATCACATTGCGTGAAAAATCAATCAGCTTATTAAAATTTTAGAAAAATTGACGATCACTGAAAGGCACGCATACGGCACTAAGCTCTTCAAACATAAGAAAACTGTTTTATCATGGCAATAAAACGTTAATTAGTGCTCACCTCGATTGCGACAAAAATAAGAACAGCATTGACAGGAGTGAGGTCTGGTAACCAGTGAGCACTGTTGGCAGCCATTCCTATCAGAGCACAGTTAGTGATGACGGCAATAACGCTCATTGCTTCGAAGGCAGACTGAGAAGAACAAGAAGAAAAAAAGAATCTCAATAATTCAGTAATAATTATGTCAGAATATAATAGAGCGCATGCAGTRAAACCATGAAATAAAAACAAAGTTGATACTAACAAATAGTACTAAGCTACTTTCATCAAATGCAAGTGGTATTTTTCATTAATTCTTCGAGAACTAAGGTGGTATATTTAATTTTTTGCATTTTACTGCATGCGCTTCATTTGTAATAACTAAAGCCTTCGCTGACTTATTGCGTTTTCACGCGCGCATCAAATGCTATTTATGCTGTGAATGATATAGCCAATCATGATCATCAACATCCCATCAGTAACAGCAACCTCTTGTAAACTCGTAAAYTTCTAGTTAAGAATTATTCCCTGTCATTATTCCCTGTATTCATGTCCAGACTAATCCTGATTCTTTACCTGCCATGCGCCAATGGATGCGGCGGGTGTGGCGAAAGGTCTCTGGAAGATCCTACACATCTTGAACGCGTCTGTTCTTATTTCTATCACGTTATTAAGAAGGGCCCAGAATGCAGCCATGGGGTACACCGAGGAGAATAGAAACGTATAACCAAACTGAAGAAACAGCTCCAAGTAGTCTGCAAAAGTATCCTGCAAATATAAAATTGCACCGTTATAATATTATAAGTTGAAAAACATCAGCGATAGTGTTATATACATGCTTTTATACTTTTTATTTTTTATATGATATATTTTTTGTTTTATGTATGCTTTTATGGGCAGCATGGGTGGTGTAGCGCTCGCCTCTCACCAATGCAACCCGGGTTCGATCATCGGACTTGTCGTTCGAGAGTAGAGTTGTTTGTTGGTTCTCTCCCGTGCTTCGAGGGTTTTCCTCCGGGTTCTCCGGTTTTCTTCCCTCCGCAAAAAACAAATTCTCAATTCTAATTAGATCAAGAAGCATGGCAACAAATATTCTCGATGTCAAAACAACAGAATCTCTTTAAAAATATATATACATAATTTTTTTACGCGTTCCTTCGGTCTAACATGGCTGCCATGGATTTCCTGCTGGCGGAGGCCCTTTTTTTCATCCTTTTTTTCGGGGAGAGGGAGAAAAAATGCTGAGACTCTGTCAGAAAAGAAATGGTGCGAAGCCCCTAAAAGGAAAATAATTTTTTAAAAACTAAACTAGCTTACGATGTAGACTTCTTGTTGTCCTTGTCGTTCAATCTGATCAGAAAGGTCCGCAGATTTGACTACAAACTTCTTGCCTTCCTTGGTTACCGTGGTAACCCGACTCCTGAACATCAGGTAAGGAATCAAGGATTCTGTGATTTGCTGGATGACTTGAGAAGTGACGAGTAATGCTGCGAGATGCTGGAAATACATGACAACAACTGTTAAAAAATCCTGCATCATATAACCCCACCACCCTTAACCCCATAGTGCAGTTTTCGCATGACTGTGAAAAGCTCAGTGCCGTAATCGTGAGGTGCCGTGACCGTGATGTTTCTAGAATTTAAAATTGGCTGATTTTTTCACGCGCAATGTGATTGGTCTGGCATTGCCGTGACCTTGGCGTGACCGTGTCCGCGCCGTATTTATGCCGTGTTCCGGGTATTTGATTGGATGGAGAGTAAATTCTCGTGCAATGTGATTGATCTGGCGTATCCCTTGCCGTGTCATGGCCGTGTTCGTGAATTTTTCAGTCATACGAAAAATGCACTAAGTTGTCATTTGTATTGCCACCATCAGTAGTAGCACCATTTACATGCACCAACTACAACATGAAAACCGCCATTACTACTACCAATACCATTAACACTAATTATCATCATCGCCACCTTCAACACCATCACTGTCTTTATTTCCATTACCGATAACACAACATTGTCGTTATTTCCACCATTATTAGCAGCGCTTTCTACACCATCTCCAACATCAAACAGTGTTATCAACACCAATACCCTCTACACCATCGTCAACAAGAATACCCATCACCTTCACCTCCATAACCAACGCCATTTTTTAATACCATTATCATTAACACCAACACTACCGCCCTCTACAGCATCATCTTCATCACCGTCACTTTCATAAGTATTCAACACCTCCTTCAACGCCATGTTTGTCACCACCGACATCAAAACCACCAACGTCAAGAGCACCATCATCACTACCATCACCAACACCATTATCATCAACAACACCACCACAACCTCTTCGAGGCCACCACTATCATCATCATCATCATCACCATTGTCTATTCTAATCACAGTCTTCACGTCACCCTTCTACTTACTCTTCTTAAGAGTTCGATGTCTTGAAGATAAAACGCGATGTAGAACAAGGAATAGAAACAGTTAACGAAGTAAAACTGCAACAAAAAAGAAGGTTAGCTATAACAGTAGTAATGGGCCAAGTGAGTAGCATAGTAAGCTATAGTATCAAGCAACAACACAACCTCAACTCTGTTAATCTATCTTTCTACGACCCAGACAAACACAAATCCAGGCTCTGAACGTTTTCTTGTGTCATGGATTCCGTCCGTTTGAGTTAGTTTTCTACAGATTTTTTGAAACCGCATATACATGAAAAAAGCGTCTAAGACACTGTGTCAGCTCTAATAGAAGATAACACGTTAAGCATAGTGTCAAGTATCAACAATTACTTAGCTTACCAACACCAGCTTTACAATGAGATGGTTCTTGAAGGAAGATTCAAGGCGATGGTTTTCTACGACAAGAAAACAAACGACGGTATTAACCAATCAAAAAACGAAACTCTTTGTAGTTGGGTGTAGTCAAATCCTACTGACCCCATTCTGTGAGGTAGGTAGCCAAGAGATGATACGCATAATTCAAAACAGCAATCATAATTGCCGCGCTATCAACACTTATTTACCACGGCTACTCAACCAATCAGAAAACGAAATGTTTAGGAGTTGGGTAATAGGGGTGTGGTCAAATCTTACTAACCCCATTCTGTGAGGCAGGTAGCCAAGAGATGATACGCATAATTCAAAACAGCAATCATAACTGCCGTGCCATCAACATTTATTTACCACGGCTACTCAACCAATCAGAAAACGAAATAAATTTTCAGGAGTTGGGTAATAGGGTTGTGGTCAAATCATACTCACCCCATTCTGTGAGGTAGGTAGCCAAGAGATGATACGCATAATTCAAAACAGCAATCATAACAGCATAGAAAATACTGGGCACAAGAAGCATGACAGATCCAACGATGCCTCCACTCTTAGCATACTTCTCTTCCATATAAAACTGTAATCTGAAGTACATCAGCATGACAACCGTTGCTACCTTCATGCACATCAACACGATGGGGTACGAGATGCAGTAGGTTTTGATCTTTCTTTTCATTGGGGGATAGTACTGCTCTTGTTGGCCTGTGATTGGGCTGGTTCGCATGGGTCCCCAGTAATTTGGACGTGGCTCTTCGATCTCCTCAGAACCTGCCAAAGAAATAACAGATTAAGTGGTATCAAAACTCTTTCTTAAAACTCTAACATTCTTTATTCAGCGATTCTTTCTTACTTTTACTAAGTTTCTTCATGAAGAAATTTTTCAAATTATTATTTTTTGATATACATAATAAGGCATGAAACAAAACTGCTCATCAAAGAATAAAGACTAGAACCTTCCATTCAATGTCATCTGCTTAGGTTCTATAGTGTGGTGTACTTTACCTAGATTTTTCTTCAGAGTGCCCCACTTGAAAGAAAGTTCTGAACAGCGACGCTTCCAGGCTTCAAGAAAGACAGTAGCCCAAAGCAAGTTAAGAACACCAAAGACAGTATTCTTGGTTTGTTCATGAGCATTGGAAAACCAGAAGACAACCATCAGGAGAACTGGAGGTATCAGAGTCAAGGAGTAAAACCCAAGGAATCCAAAGTACATGGCAATAGTGTCTCCGTAGTACTCTCTGATATCATCTGAAAAAAAATACCAATACAAATATAAATTAAATGTGTTTGACTCTTTATGACTGGAATATTTATAAGAAGTAAGAACAGATATTCATAGAGCTGGTAGTGCATATAAAAGCAAGTTTCATAAGGCRTCCACTAAATCGAAAATGAGGGAAAAAATGAGCAACAATTACGATTTGATTAAAAATAGTCATTATTGATATTATCCTCTTGGTCATGCTTTTATACTTTAAATATCATTATATTTTTCCTTCCCTTTCCTTTTTTTTTTTCATTTGCATTTCACTTCTCTTCTATTCTACACTCTCTCTTTCCTTAATAAACTTTAAAAACAACTCAATCAACTTCAACAACCACTTCACTACAGAACTTAATATGACTTCTATTTTGAGGGCAAATTTACAAAATTTAACTCATTACTTCCAGGGACAACATAAACTCTCCTTAAACATGTATTTAGAATAAAAAGATGGCATAACTAATCTTGCTATCATTTCCATTCTCTCACCAAGTGGCTGCTTTGCCTGGAACCCAAGAAACCATTTGTGTTCCAAGGCTTTGAGTTTGTTTTTCTCATGAAGAGGGTAGATAGCTGTTAACACTCCCTTTGAAACAATCTTGGGCACTGTAAATAAAGAAGGAAAATCATAAACATTCTTTATAGACTGAAAGAGTCTGTTACGTATGCCAGGCAAAGCTGTGTGAGAACCAGCTGGGCCAGTGGGGGCTTATCGGCATTGGTTAACCTTATGAAACCCTGAAACTACTAGGCTGGTCAAACTCAGGGCACGGCTAACTCACAGAAATAATTCAAAATTAGAATGTAAGGTTTTGCAGAAGCAAGAAAACTGGAGAATCCAGAGAAAAACCCTTGAATCAAGGGAGACTTAACAAACTATACTCACTCATGTTGCAGGGACACAAGACTGGGGAGGTAAGAGTTGGGTACACTAATAGTATGTCACCTTGATTACGAATTCATTGCTGTTTTTTTTYCAATTTTATTGACAGAAAAACTCACCAATCGCTCTGTTCTTATAAAGTGTTATTTCTGTATATCCAGGCACAGACATGTCCATGTGACATTTGATAGCATCCAAAGAACACTGGACAATCCTTTGGCTTTCAGAAGTTGTCAGGAATCCTTCCCCGTCTGATCCAAAATCTTTGAACTCCTTACAGTTATTAAGACAGAAGTCTAACATGGCACCAGATATGTGACTCTTCTTAACTTTGAATTTTTCAGCCCCTTCTAGAAGCCTTTTGGTGGAGCCCCATAAATGTAGTGTGTCACACTTCTTGAGGGAGTCTGGTTCTATTTTACACTGAAGACCTGCACCTCCAGTAGAGACTAGAGTAAGAAGAGGAAAAAGGATATTCAAAAGTGGGATTAGTATTCGGCATGAACAATAGAGCAGTTATTTGGCTGGTGGGCTGACTGATTAACTACATTGTTCCGTTTTCTTTATGGAGAGACTTTGACGCTGGCTGATACATATCTAGTCTCCCCCACAGCCGCTTTCAGGGTCGTCGTTAAGTGAAGAAGGCTGTGGGGAAGACTAATACATATCTTGTTGTAAACAATTTTGAAGAATTGTGGTTGTGGGCCTGCAATAGAGGGGGAGACAGGGGCCATTTTAAGGTGGTCATTTCAAGACCCTTTGGAGTGCTGGTATTAATGACCATCTACACAACAGATCAATAATGCTAAACCAACTGAGGCACCTGAGGAATGGTATTTGTTCATGATGCTTACACCCTTAACTTGTTCACCCCTTTTCCAATTCCACCACCACCTCATACAGGGCTTGAAATAATGGCCAGTCATTTGACATAGTCCACCCAGAATTGTAAGTTGTCCAGTCAAATATTTGTCTTGCCAGTCATTTTGACCAGTAACATTATTTAGCCAGGATAATGTACGACCAAGCTAAAACTAATTTGCTCTGTCATCATGACCGGTGACTTACTGGCCGTTAATTTGAGCCCTGTAATGAATTGAAGCCCAAAACTAGTACAATCTGATGACAATAGTTATTATATACCTGGTGCTTGAATGAGACCAATAAGCCATTTTTTTGTCTCTTCAGGTGTCTTGGGGGAAAACTCCAACACTACCAGTGTTTTGACACTGTCTGCTAGTTGTACAACTTCTTCCGTGCTTCCACTCATGATGAACAGATAATCACACAATCTACTGAAAGAATCAAATGAATAGTACATTATTATCAATTATTGTTTGTTTATATGTTTACATGTCAAGAACTCTATGTCTCAATCGAGTAGAAACAATTTATATTTTTGACTAATAATTAGTCAAATTATTATTTCATGTTTCATGATAATTTTCTCACAATTTTCTATCATATATTCACACTGTAAGCTTTAAAATTACAGGATATCCGACCTGCATAATGTTTCCTTCAAGTTACGAATTTAGTTGCAATAAACTGTCATACAAAAATCAACCTTTACCCCAAACATTTTCAAAGAATTAAATATGACTTCGACTGGTTACTATATAGATAGGAGTTGTGAACAGGTGTCGTATGATGAAAACACTTTTAATTACAAAACACACTGTGAAGACTAATTATAGGTAACATTCATTTCACCCTACATCATGGAAGAGCCCCTTACTGGGAGTGATGGTCGTAAAATATTTATAAGCTTATAAATGTTACACAAATGTTAACAAATTTTCATCAAAAGAACACTTGAGATTGTTCTCTCATTATTGAGCAGTTTTCGTATGACTATAAAAAGTTCATGACATGAACACTGTCGTGACACTGCAAGGCATAAGCCAGACGTACCAATCACATTGTTTGAAATTTACTTTCCATCCAATCAAATGCCCAGAACATGGCATAAACATGGCACAGACATGGTTACACCAAGGTTACAGCACTGCTAGACCAAACAAATTGCATGAGAAAAAAATCAGCCAATTTTAAAGAATTCTAGAAAATTCTAGAAAACATCACAGTCACAACACAGCACCCTTATAGCACTGAGCTTGTCACAGTCATGCAAAAACTCTACTCATGACATATTTTTGAATATTGACGACTGTTTCCAAGTGATCAAAGCTTATGCTAAAAAAATAGTATCACCTCCACCAAAAAAAATGGTTCTAATGTACATAAATTGAAAACTCCTACAAAATTCAATTAATGAAATAAGGAAGGATAATAAATTCAGAATACGTGGCGCTCTTTATAATAATTAATTCAAGGTTATATAAAATTAGTCGAAACAGTTATAAGTTATTCTAATAATTATCGGTCCAATGTGTTTACTTTACTTTTCTAAAAGGTAATCCTAGTATTTAATCACCTTTAATAATTAAAAAGTGAATAAATAAATTAATACTTTTACTCATAATGGCGACAGGTAAGGATTCCAAATATGTTATTTGATTCCATAGTCTTTGTTATTCAGTATATTCATGATTTTACAGAAATTAGCTCTCACTATCGTTGTTCTTCTGGACCAATTCAAACAATTCGCAAGTCAAGAGTTTTATTCCTTTGAAGGTGAAAGCTGGTTATAATAATAAGTTTTCTGAGAATGCAAGGCAAGGAAAACAAGCCAACAAATGTATACAGGATTATTTTTCTGCATATTCAAGTCAAAGTCTTGCATTTGTGATCGCAAAACTAAATCGCTTCTTGAGAATAATTTTCGAAGAAAAAATTCAAATCACTTCCCAAAACTTTTGATGCAGTAATTTTGGTTGTGAATTAAATTGAAGGTATGATTGAATAAGGTTTGATTTGAGGATGAAATAAAGGATTTTTTACAATAACTTACCTTTGGTGCAGTCGAGCTTTACCTCCCTTGTAGTCACAATAACCAAATGATAAGGAGGGAGGGGTGGGAAAGTGGGCTACTAGTCTCAGGTGCACGCGAATGTGTTCCAAACAGGAAGCCCGGCCATAAAAACGTGGATGAACAGCCATGGCCATATGCATAACAGGCAAAATAGCTTTAGAAGTAATGAAAAACTGATATAGGCCTGGGATAAGGTAATCAGTTTTATGGAAAATCAATAATAATTTATAGGGATATTGTCTTCATAATTTTTTATTGATTTTATTGATTGTTTTCACCCCCTGGATCCACTCCCTGTATCAACACTTTGGATCCACCCCCTGTATCCACCCCCTGGATCCACCTCCTGGATCCACTCCCTGGATCCACCCCTTGGATCCACCCCCTGGATCCACCTCCTGGATCCACTCCCTGGATCCACCCC